GAAAGGCGGACAAGGAGGCAGGATGGCCGAGGCGTTACCTGGCCCGAACATGTTCAGGTTCGCGTCGACGCGAGTCTTCTCATGGGTAGGTGGCCTCGGCTTGGAGGTGATGAAATAGGCCATGGTAGGGCGAGCAATTGGAGAAAAGGAAGAGTGGAGGAGGGGTGCTGTGCTTGTCCGCGAGGGTCCCCGGGTGGGGCGGGAGGGCGGCCGAAAAATGAGCCCCCGGGGCTCGTGAGACACCGAGGCCCGCCTCTGCCGCCCGCTCGGGTGGATCCGCCGCCCCGGCCCTGCCAATGGAAGGGAGGCCGTGCTGGACCAGGCGTTGGCAGTTGCTGAACCCCCGCAGGCCTGCATTCACAATCGTGGGCACCTCTCGCTTGCTCCGGCGTTCAAGGCATTTTATAGGGGGTGTATTTTTCTGAGGGGCAACGAGGTGGGGGGAGGGGCAAACTGGAAGAGGGGGGAGGGAGGTCTCCGCTACGCCACTGAAATGGCACATGGCAATGGCAGGAGGCGATAGAGGAAGAGAGAGAAGAAGAGAGAGAGAGAGAGAGAGAGAGAGAGAGAGAGAAAGGGAAAGAGAGGGAGAAGGACGGCAGGGGGAGGGTGTGGGTGCCGCCGCTTCCGTCACCTCGCCTCTCAGCCCCTGCTTCCTCACCCTGGACAAGTGGGAGGGGGGGGGGGGCGGGGAGAGAGGAAGCAAAAGGACAAACCGGCGGGCCTTTCTGCCGGCACCAGCTTAGGACGAGCCAGAGGGGGCCAGATAGTGGTTGGTGGCCGCCAACCGGGTGGCCTCCGGCACGACGGCATCCTGAGGCAGGGAGCGCCAGAGGGTGATCTCCTGCTGCTTGAAGTAGCGGCGCTCCTCCTGGTCCAGAAGCACCAGGTTCAGGAAGTAGCGGACGCTAAACTGCTTGTCGGTGTCGTGGTAGGTGGGGGTCAGGCGGTAGCTGTTGAGGAACAGCCGGACCGGGATGGTCTCATTGCGGACCGGGCTGCCATCCATGATCTCGAACCTGCGGCGGCGGGCGGTGGCGGGGTGGATCAGGCGGTTAGGGGACATCAGACTACGGACAGAGGAGCGATGAA